TTGTTTGAAACTTTTTAAAACATGGCTTTAAACCAAAATATGTGAAACAATATTTAACATACCTTATGGGGGGTTTAATGAAATTTTGAATGTGACTTAGTGTTTCCATTTTATCTTCTTAGTCACAATTTGTTTACTGTGGCTGTCACATTTCCAGATGCTTTCTTTTAGAAATTCAAAGACATCATTAATCCAAGATTGACATTTTGGTTAAGAAATACCAGCCAAACAATGAATGTCTATCTTTCAGTTAGAATTTGGTTAACTGTATGGATTAAAACTTATTTCTTCATCTGGTGAAGTGATGTCTTAAAATTGTCTCACTTGATATTTTACTACCTTAGTTAAACTGTAACATGTGAAATAAATCATTTGAATTTCAATAAAGTTTCATGTAAATCTGAAAGTAATCAATATCAATGCAAATTTTTTAATCATAAATTACAGACTTGAATTTTAAGCTGTAATTGATTAATTACAATTAAAACTTGTAATCAATTTTTGAGCAAGGTAATCAATTACATGATGATTTACACTGTAATCATGTAATCAATTAAAAAATCGATGATTACGATTTAGTGATTACCCCAGGTCTGCTACCAGTTTGCTTCAAATAAGGGCCCTTGGGTTAAAATTTGCTCCGGCCCCCTGGGGTCAATTTACAAAAAATTTCACTGTCAATGAAAACTACCCAATTTGAGTATTGCATGGACCTGTTGTTTAAAAATTGGTGCAAAGCACAATTTCAAACGAAAATGATTCAACTATTATTTTTACAGATCTGATGTATGATGATAATAATTGAGTGAGGACCAGGAAAATATGGAAAAGCGTGTCAAACTGAAGAAGGTTGAAATCCATGTATAACATGTGGATTGTGTAAAGGGAATGATTTAACCCCTAGTGGAGGCCCCCACTAACCATCACAGAATAGTCTAACATACATGTAAGTTTTTTATTAAATTCAGGATGTGGACCTCAATGACTTTAAAGTGACCATTTTGCTCCATCCAAAAAGGTATAATCGTTAGTGAACAGAATGAGAGTCAAAAATAAGTTTTATTTTGTAAATAATTTCCTTTGCCATGTTTTTTATAATATAATTTTACTTCACATGAAACATGAATAATTCAGCATGCCCTTTGGAAAAATTTCTGTAAATAAATCCATAGGAAATTTACCTGCAAAGTTTTATAAAGAGAATGGGGGCAGTCTATTTCCTATGTTTTGAAAAGGCATAATTTATATTTTAAAGCATATATATATATATACATTTTAATATATAAAATAAGATTCCAAATTTTGAATTGTGAAATCTGCACTTATGGTAATCAGTGTGACTTGGGTCATTCCTGAATTACAGAATTTTCTGAACTCAAAAAGTCTTTTTTTCCCTGTACAAAAGTACATACCAGGTAAAAATGCTTTAATTTTAGGATTTTTCAAAACCCTTTTTTGATTTTTAAAACTTTAACGCATTTGGTTTCATCATAAATGGTTAAATGATCAGTTCCCAACAGAAATTTTTGAATATTTGTAAAAATAAAAATTAGTTATATAATAAAAAAACAAAAACAATGGCACCATTGTGTAATGACTCTTTACCATCTTTGTGTTAGTTGCTACTTTGTAATCTCCAAACAAATCCCATGACCTTAACGTATGAAACCTTTAAATTTTTTATTTTTTTTAAATAACAAATTTTACAAATTTTTTTTTGCAATGTCATATACATGTAACATCAATATAACAATATAATTCCAGATAATGGTTACTGAAATACAATTTGACAAAACAATTTTCAATATACAAATTACTGATGAACCTTCATTTTGATGATTTAGATTTGGGCCTTAATTAATCTAAGACCCATCCTCAGTAACCGAGGCTAATTAATGTTGACTAGTATATACAGAATGTATACCGTGGGTTCGGACAATGCTAGAGACCAGGCTTGTTTTGAGGACACATGTACTATAAAAGTGCATGAAAGACGTTATACAAATTGTTGAATGGTCTTTAAATATTTTGTATAATGATAATATGAGCCGTGTCATGACAAAACCAACATAGTGCGTTTGCGGACCAAAGCATGGGATCCAGACCAGCCTGCGCCATCCCGCCGCAGTCCTGATCAGGAATCCGATGCTGTTTCGCTGTACAAAACCTATCACCCAAGTAGAGGAAGTGATAAGGCGAACAGCATGGATCCTGATTCAGACTGCGCCGGATGCGCAGGCTGGTCTGGATCCATGCTGGTCGCAAAGCCATTTATGTTGGTTTTGTCATGACACGGCTTCAATTATAAATTTAATTTGGAATTAAATCTATTAAACAGTTTTTGTCGGAGTTGTCTTGTTGAAGTTTTTTTGTTAGGAGAATAACACATGTTCCTAAGATGTGGTTTAATAACTGGATTTCATCCAAAGTCATCCAGCTGAACTATATTAGGTAAGTCATTAGTTCTGAACCTATTATAATGTTATCTTGTGGTTTAACTCAATTTTTAATATCTTCTCTGATAATAAAAAATTTAATCTTTATCTGCCATTCTGATTAAAATCAGCCTCTAAAAAACCCGCTCCGCATTTTAGATCTGAGCGTGACCAAATTCAAAATCAATTTCTGTTTAACCTTTCACGCGAGCTTTCATAATTTTGAAAGCAATGTGTTTCTTATTTTAATCCTGGAAAAACCCCAATTACTGAGTAGGTAATTTTCCCACGATTTCAAGAAACAAACGTGGCATTGTTTTCCATTATAGCCCGACAGTTAAATTGGCAAAAAACAGTCTGGCTTCATTAAAAACTGAACACTAAATTATTTCAAGTTTATTTGTTAAAAAAATTTAACTTTTAAACCATTTTTTGGCTAACAAAAATCAAAGAATTTGTTTAACTTCCACGGATAATGGTATTTTGATACTTCTTCTAATGCCTCTGTAAAAACAAGTTCGATTACATGGCTAAAAGTAGGTTTCTCGGGAAATCCAAATTATGAATTAGGCGAAATAAAACATATACGGTCGTCTTCAGATCTACATAAAAAAATAAGTAGATCTGAACTTTAATCAGATTGTATCTAGTCATAGATGATGTTTTGATGATTGTTTGTTTTGTTTGGTTGGTTTTGTATGCTAAATTTTACACACTTTCGGTTATATTTTGGCGGTCTATTCATCTTACCGGTTTTCCTGGACAGCTAACCAGTTATTTGTCGTTTCTTTTCAAGTGACCGACTACTTATAGCACATGATTTTTAAAACATCAGTGAGAGACAATAACAATTAGACATGATGTTACAAAACCAATGCTCACCCCTCACTATAAAGCTGAATCAATGGCTTGAGTAAAAAATTAAATTAATCCAACTGGACTCAATTTTAAAATGGCCCCTCAGTGGCAAAGTTGTTCCGGTTAGTTAATTCCAATCATTTGACACTTGACCCTTACTGTGGCCCGGCATCCATTTGACACTTGACCCCCTTAACTGTCGGCCCGGCATCCATCTGACACTTGCAACCCTTACTGTGGCGCCCGGCATATCCATCTGACACTTGACCCTTACTTGTGGCCCCGGCATCCATCTGACACTTGACCCTTACTGTTTGGCCCCCGGCATCCAACTTGACACACTTGACCCTGTTACTTCCCCACCTGGCCCGGTTTTCCCAAATTCCCCAGAAAATAACAAAGGGCTTAATTTTGTGGAAAGTTTTCAGATAAACTCACAGAAATTTTGTTTCCAGTACTTTTGTGGTGCCCATCCCCCGGGTAAAAAAAATGTATGTTAAAGGGGATCAAAGATGTTAAATTGTTCCTAAACTGAAAACTTCCCTCTATTGAATTTTGTTTTTTTTTTAAAATAAAAGAAAAGAAAAAATGTAAGTAAAAAGTTAATGGGTATTTGGGAAAATTTAGTTTTTAAAATTTACTTTTTTTTTTTACTAATTTTTTCTTAATTTACTTTAAATGAAATTTCCCGTCATCCCGGTTTTCCCAAAGCCAAGAAATTGGGGTACCCCAAAATTGGGGGCCAAATTTAACCAAAAAAGGGGAAGAAATTTAGGGGGTTTTAAAAATTAAAATTTTTAAATTGTTTTTTTTCATTAATTATTAATTATTAATCCAAAAATAAAGTATGAAATTTGTAAAGAATGTATTATTAATAGTATTGATATCTGTGTTAAGCTCAGTAAAATAAAACCCTTTATTACTCTTGCTTAGGTGGGGGCAAGTTTGAACACCAGCCAGAGTGGGATATTTTCTAATGCATTTGCATTGTTCTTTTACAAACTAAATATATTACCTGCCAAGCTTAAGAACTGTTTATAGTTCTTTTCTGGTGCTTACTTGTGCCTGAAATGATGCACAAGGGATTACTTAAGTTTTTCCACTTCCATCAAAACGTGTCTCTTTGACTTAATACTATAAAAATCCAACAAATACCTTAGTCAAAGACTTGAACAGTGCCTTGGCTGGGTTAGAAACTGAAAAAAGTAAAATTTGTTTGCAAATCTGTCCTTATATGAAGCATTGTTTTGAACATGCAATACACTGTATATCTTATTTGAAATGAAGATTTTAAATAAATGTATGTATACATTGTTTTTTTTCTTTATATAACTACTACCCTAAAACGGTACCATTCCCAATAGAAAATAGACATTAAAATTCCCAATTTCCAATGTTAAATTCCCAAAATGACTGTTCAAAATGCCCACAAGGCAAAGTGATTTTTCTAAAATCATTTAAATCCAACATATTCATATAAATCACCACTCAATAGTTCTATCTAGACAGTAGAAGCTGTTAGCTATCTTTATTCATGATGTCTAATCTCATTTGTAGCTGAAAAAATGCATTAAAAAAATTCCCAATTTTAGTCAAAATAACGCATTTTTTCCCAATCAGTCTGGTACCGGCACCATTCCCAAAGTAGAGAAAAAAAACGCTGGTATATTTATCTACAGTGCTGTATAATAATTGATTATATTATAGGTGAAAAGAGGAGACAGATAGAATTTTACAAGAAAAAGGGTCTTCAAATGCCACATGGAGATGGTAGGTCTATTTTGTGTATTGTTGATGAGTTTAAACTGGTGTCTTCATAAAGATTTTCTTTATAAATCCTGTATTGAATTATGTTTTAAGAAACCAATTATAAATAATATGATTTTGAGGTTAGTCAGACTCGTCACAAATTTATTGGCTTATGTTTGGTTGTAATTTGATATTGACCATTGACAAAGTAGCGTTTGTAAACTGGTCTTTAAACCTGTCAGGGGCAAGCCGTTGTTTCAGTGAGCAAGAAACTTTACACCCAGTAAAGTACTGGTTGGTTCCAGGAATGGATTAGAGACTATTTCAATAAGCGTTTAGTTCTTATAAATAAATTCTTATAAACTGAACAATCCTGTAGTTTGTAACAGAAATACATGTACTGTCATAATAAAGCAAACTTTTAAAGTGACTTTATGCTCATTTTTTTCATTGTCAACTTGAGTTAAATGAGATATATATTTCAAATGATTTACTAATGTAGTGGTGACTGACCAATTATTGATATAGGTAATTAGAATTGTGTAAGATGAAATATAAAAACAAAGATATAGAAAGATTGTTCTACTATTGTCATGACAAATCCAACGTAATGTGTTTGCGACCAGCAAGGATCCAGACCAGCGTGGGCATCCGGATCCATGCAGTTCGCTTACAAACCCTATAACAAGTAGAGAAACTGATGGCGAACAGCATGGATCCTGATCAGACTGCGTGGATGGGCAGGCTGGTCTGGATCCATGCTGGTCGCAAACCCATTATGTTGGTTTTGTCATGACGCGGCTCATTTTATCTCCAGCATATTTTATTTTATTTCCATATATTATCTTCAGCGTACGAGGATGACAAGAAGAACATTGAGAAGAATTCTCCAGATAAGGAGGATAATAAAGACTATCATCGTCTTGATGAGCAAGTGAACGTGTGTCTTGAGTGTCTCGAAATTAACGTTCTGAAAAGTTTAAAACGTAAAATACTAAGACTGTCTTCCCAAGCCACTGTGACTCATTTAAAAAAATTTGTGGCTTTAAAAGTGTTTGGAACAATAGATCGTTACAAAGATGTAAGTATATACCCTTTACTATCGCTAGGGAAGATAATAACTGACATATGCCCCCAGTATAGATTTTGACCAGACTGCACATACTGTCTGACCATATTTTTTGCAGTTTACTTGCAAGTTTTTTTTCATTACTTACGTTTTATTACATGCCCAAAAACATTTCTGCATATATTGTTTTGCACCTGGTGACAGTGATTAATCTAGAAATTCCTTACAATGCGTCGGATGACGCACATGTTTGAAAACAATGAGTCCTTTAGCAAAATCAATGAGTCATGTAGCAAAATAAATGTGTCTTAGCAGAAATTTTTTTTTAATAGCAGATCCTTGACATGATTTGCATGTTTTTATAACAAGCGATTAAGTAATTAAAGTGTAAAAAAAAAGTTTTTTTTGGTACTAATATTAATTGCAGGCAAAACAATTTTTATTGGCTGCTCAAAAATCTAATTTGCATAATTTATATTTTCTTACTACTTATGTCTAATACTGTGCATTATCCATTTTAATTGTTCGTAATTTGCACAAAATGTCCCTATCACACTGTATACATACTGACGACTTTTATTGCTCCTTGTATGCCTCTGTGTAGAAAGCATACACAGACAGACCTTTTGATCATGAAAAAAAGTCATGCACAATGTTTCCCTGATTGGTTAATCCCCCTGTCAAATATTCTGATGACGTAATAGACATCTTTTTTTTTTTTTACACTCGGCGTGAACTTGAGTGACCTTAGGGGAATTCAATTTACACCAGACCTGGGGTAATCACTAATCGTAATCATCGATTTTTTAATTGATTACATGATTACAGTGTAATCATCATGTAATTGATTACCTTGCTCAAAATTGATTACATTAATTGTAATTAATCAATTACAGCTTAAATTCAGTCTGTAATTATGATTAAAATTTGATTGATATTGATTACTTTCAGATTTTACATGAAACTATTGAAATTCAAATGATTTATTTCACATGTTACAGTTTAACTAAGGTAGTAAAATATCAAGTGAGACATTTTAAGACATCACTCACAATGAAGAAATAAGTTTTAATCCATACAGTTAACCAAATTCTAACTGAAAGATAGACATCATTGTTTGGCTGGTATTCTAACCAAAATGTCAAATCATTGGATTAATGATGTCTTTGAATTTCCTAAAGAAACATCTGGAAATGTGACAGCACAGTACAAATTGTGCACTAAGAAGATAAATGGAAACACTAAGTCACATTCAAATTTCATTACCCACATAAAGGTATGTTAAATATTGTTTCACATATTTTGGTTAAACCATGTTTTAAAAAGTTTCAAACAATATAGATAACTTCTTTATTTCTATATTCTAGAGTTTATGTCAGATGCATATTACCATATTTTAATTATATGCAACAGTTATTTTGTAAGGTGATAAACAATGTGTCTATATTATAATGGATACTGTTGTACCATTGAAGTGTTTGTAAAAAAACTGATAATTTCTTTGTAAAGATTAAGTCTATTGTCTCTTTGAATTCCCATATAAAAATTTATTGTTTTCACACCTGTTATAACACCTGTATACAGTGTACTGTACAATTGACACTTTTAAAAATTTCTGTTGCAGAGAGTTCAATATGAAACCTACACCAAGAAGACTGAGGACCATCCCTGCATCATTGGCCCCTTGAGGGCGTTTGTTTAGTGTTGCGGGTAAATTTTCCGTCCTGATAGATGCAGTCTGACTGATAGACGGTTTTATGAACTTATGATGCTAAAGTGCAATGCTAAAATATGATAAAGTGATGTGACAGTAACTAAAAGTGTGTTAAAATGATGACTGTTGATGAGCTGGAAATCCTTTGTGTATATAATGTATATATTAAATAGCATTAAGAAACTTTTGTTTATAGAACAGAACAGAACAGAAACTTTATTTTCAGACTTGTACAAAATACATCGTCTACACAATACAAACAATTAAATATATGTAAGTATAAGTCACATTACATAATAATATCATAGTCAAATGTTAGCAAAGCATATGTTTTATTGCTTAATTTATAATTCCGTTAATACAAAACATATCAAAATATTATCAAAGCAAAATGGAATCTATATTTAAAGTTAGACATTATGCAATCAATACTTATTTATCTACGCTATGTTACACAGAGGATTAACCGTGAATTCAACGATGTGTAACTGATATTCTCATAGCCAATGCTTCTCGTATATAACAAGCAAGGTTACGTAAAATAATCTTATTATCACTATTTAATAATTCTAAAAATTTATACATACTAGGTCTAACGTAGTAAAATTTCTTAATGTATTTCTTTCTAAGGTCATTGTAACAAGTGCAAACCAAAACAAAGTGGTACTCATCTTCAATATCATGTAAGCTACAGTATATACAAAAACGTTCATTTCTTGGTATCCTATTTGAACCATAACGACCAGACTGTATAAGTAACGGATGTGCTGATAATCTTATTCTACTAATATAATGCCTAAGGCTACTAGGTAATAAATCCAGATATTTTTCATACTGGAACACATTTTTTATCTCCTTGTATAACAATAAAACAGGACTATTTACAATATCAGCATGCCAGCTTTGTACAAAGGAATCAATTAAACGCTGCTTGAATTCTAGTAAAAACAATTTACTACATAAAACCCCTTGATTATGCCATACATACATAAAACCATACGACGACAATAAATCTTTAACACTTGAAAGCCAATTTTTCTTACCATTTATACAGTCTTCATAAGATATATTATAAATTTCTTTAAGAATGATATTGTCTGTTTGTAATAATTTAAGCCAAAACTTTACTATCCGTAAATATCTTGTAATGTATAAAGGATAACGAGCCAGTTCACCATAAACTGCTGCATTACATGTATTCATTTTAACATTAAGTATTCTTTTACAAAACTTAAGATGAATTCTTTCAATTTCTTTTGACTAACTATTTCCCCAAATTTCCGAGGCACAACAAAGAATGGATCCGACAAACGCATCAAATAACTGACATAATAGTTTGGGATTAAGTTTATAATTTGTACAATTTATTTGTAGAACATTTAATGCTTTTAAAGCTTTTCCTATTATCTGTTCCTGAATTTAAAACAAACGTACCCGTGTAATTAAAAACAACTCCAAAGTAATTTAAGTTACTAACAAGTTTGAGTTTTTATACAAAAATTCTCCATTAGATAACAACCCAATTTGTTTTCTAAAAACTATTGCTTTAGTTTTATCAATTTTAACATTCAGACTCCATTTTTCACAATATGAATAGAGCATATTTAAACTTTGTTAATCTATTCTGGTGAATCACCAAAAATAACCATGTCATCGGCATAAAGTATAATATCATTTAATTGAAGTCCAATGTTTATATCCTGCACTAAGAGTAACTCGACGTCATCAATAAACAGAGAAAACATTATCGGTGAAATTACCTCCCCATGACGGAGACCTACAGCATATTCAAAAAAATCAGAAATAACAATTACAATGTTTTATACAAGATTTAACCTTATCGTACATATCTCTAACAATACGTAACAATTTACCTCTAATACCAATATTATATAACTTGAGCCATAGGGCATTTCTGTAAATACTATCAAAGGCCTTTTTGAAATCCACAAATACACAGTATAGACGCTTTTTCTCATTTAGGTATTTTTGAATAACAGACAATAAAATATACAGGGCATCTACAGTTGAATTACCTTTCCGAAAACCAAACTGTGCATCAGACAACAAGTTATTTTGTTCACAATAATCCATAATCCTTTTATTTAAAATCGTTGTAAATAATTTAGACAAGCAACTAACTAGTGTAATACCTCTATAGTTATTAGCATTATTTACGTCTCCCTTTTTATGCAGTGGGATAATAACACCCTCAGTCCAGGATTCGGGGAAAAAACCACTATCTAATATACAATTAAAAATATCGCAAATATGACACCCTAATATATCAATAGATTCAATGAAGTATTCATTTAAAAGAAAATCATTCCCAGGAGATTTATTCCTTTTTCAATGTTTTAACAGCCGCTGTAATTTCTTCAATAGTAAAATTCCTATCTAAAATTTCATCACCATTGTCAGTATTATTAAAATCATACATTGTTTCAAAATTTTCAGATTCATCATTTGTTGACTGAAAAATGTCGTTTCCAATAGACGAAAAGTATTCAAAAAATTCATCCACTGAAATATTATTCTTCGAACTAGTGTTATGTTTAAAATATTTCCAAAATTCTCTAGGATTGGAAAAACGTAACTTTTCGATTTCACGCTCCTTTAAAGCAATATGACGTCGACGCTTTAATCTAACAGTATGTTTATAATTGCTTTTTAAAAGACAAAGCTCATCCCTATTTTCATAACTTTTACTCTGTTAAAGTTACGTAAAGCATTTAAATATGCATGTTTTGCCTGCACACATTCTTGGTCAAACCAAACCTTATTTTTATCATTAAATGTATTACAAAAATCAACACTATTATTTACACAATAAGATTTACAAAACATAGGGCTAGCTACATCTTGTATCAGACAGGTAAAATCAGAAACTAGCGCATTTATAGATAATTTACTACAAATATCTACATTATTTAACAACGTATTAAAAACCGGCAGTTTAGTTATTAACTTTGCTCTGAATTCCTCCCTTAGGTTATTTGACCAAACATATTTGCAAAAATTTTCCTTGCATTGGTTTTTTTCAATATTTTGTGATTTATTACAAAATAAATTAAAAGAAATAGGACAGTGGTCACTCCATACGGTATAATCATGAACTGTAAAATTACTAATTCTGGAAAAATTACAATTCAAAGTGAGTAAGTAGTCAATAACAGACGCCCCCTGTCTCGAAATAAACGTAAAATTACCGTTACGATCGTGATCTATTCGACCGTTAATAATACGTAAACCTGTACTTTTACAAAATTCAATTAAACGATGACCAAAAGTGTTACACGTATTGTCAAGTGAGGCCCGAAACAGGGGTACATCTGGGTCATACACATCATAATCAATATCAATATTTAATGCATCACAAACAATGTAATCTTTTTTCGTACCAACTCTACTATTCCAGTCTCCAATTAAATACAGTTCTCCTTCCGTTTCAAATTCATACACATCGTTTTGAATGACGTTAAACAAATCGACATCACATACATTGTACGCTGGTGAATCTTCACACCATAAATAAATTCCACATATGTATATATCTCTTTCTAAAGTAAAAAAATGTTTATCAAGTTTAATCCATAAGATTGTATCAAAATGGTTACGCACTATTTCTATGCCAGTTTTTAACGATTCTCTATACAGTAAAGCGATCCCACCACTACACCTTCTAGAGTTCCGGTGTTGAAATTTTCTAAAATAATTATATGATACATAACCACTTAGATTAATATTTGAATTCACATTTGCCCAGGTTTCATATAAAAAGATAATACCATATTGTTTTAAGATGTTAATAAAGTCATCGTCTTCTATTTTCTCAGCAGTCAGACCATTAACATTCCAGGAGAGAATTCCAAGGTTATCCTCATCGAATCCCTATCTTCGGTCGTCTCGCTGTGCTTTACCATCAATATACAATGTATCGTAAGATAACCAGGCCCGTTGTCCCTTCGTCCTAGCCTCCTTCATTTTCGGGATTAACGCTCTTCTCTTATCAATCACCTCCTTTGGGAACTGCTCGTGAACAAAATACTTGGTATTGTCTAATGATTTCCAACTTTTACGAACCAGTTCTCTCTCTTTAAACAAATTAAATTTTGCCACTATTTTTCTGTCCCTTCCTCTTTGCCTTTCGCCCATCCTATGCACTCTTTCAAATTTCAATTGAGCTACTAAATCACTAGCAATTTTCATCTTTTCCACAAGAAATCCCCGCAATATTAACTCTGTATCTTCACTTTCCCCTTGGCGCGCCTCCTCAATATTTCCAAACACCAAGTTATTTCTCATTGATTGAGATTGCACATAGGTTAAATCATCAGCCAACTGTTTACTTCTTGATTCTAATTGTTCTACTTTTGATGAAAATAACCCTAAGTTGTAGTCAGTGCTTTCCGCCTTCTCTTCAATTTCATGTATTTTATCCATAGCCTTTTTATTTTGGTCATTTATACAAGTCCATAATTTAGCCAAATCCTTTTCAAAATTACACACTTTTTTTTCTAATGATTCTAATGTACATAATTTATGTTCAACTGACTCAAGGCGATTATTAATTTTATTTAGAATCTCCAGTAAATCGGAATTTGAAGGGTTTATACTAGCCATACCTGGATTGTTGTTTGCTACACTCACTTCATCCGTTTCAGAGCCTGAGTCTGTGCATGAATTCAATAATGTTTCTAAGTTCAAAGTTGTATTTGTGGCAAAATTATCCTCTTTATCAAAAAGGACACAGTTGGTTTCCTTTAAAATGTTACTAACCACAACTTCGTCTGGGGTAGACGTAAAGCGACCTGATTTTCGCTCACCGCCATTTTTCAAAGATCCATCACTGCACTTTCTTTTCTTTTTCTTATCCTTTTTACCAGTCATAACTCACAAACAGATAATCCAAAAACATTCAGCACAAAATAATACATTATCCTAGCAACAAAAATAACAAGATTGTTTCATGAAGATAACTTTTAATCCATTTTTTAATCCATTTTTTTCAGAGCGCACAAAACATGTCTAACCATTGATCACGTGACTTTCAAACATACATCATAAATCGTGTGACTGAAAAGAGGTCGGAAAATGTTTTTTTTTATAGTTATACATGGAATGTAATCAATTATCAATCAATTACTTTCTCAAAGTAATTGTAATTTAATTGATTACAGAGGCAAGTCTGAGTAATCAATTGTAATCAATTACAATAAAATCTGAAAGTAATTGTAATTAAATCAATTACTGATCAATGTAATCATCCCCAGGTCTGATTTACACACCTGTCAGATTATACTGTAACTTACAGCATTTCTTAAAATAGCAACACTTTTTTTCAGTTACCGATATTTATTTAAAATATTAAGTAGATTAATGATTTTTTGTTTGTTTATTGGATTAAATTTACGGTAGTAGAAATGCTTATCTGTGTGGGAAAGGGATAAGGTAAGTAGATAATTGGAAAAATGCTATAGGGAAATGGATTAACTCAAGAATATGCGGAATTACATGGAAATGGGTAACCTGTTGCTGTTGGTACCAGTTTTGTCTGGATGACGAAATAACATACAATATAAGTCTGGCACAGATTTTAGATGCACCCTTGGCCCTTTGCTGACGATTTTCTTGTGCCATTCTCATTTTTTAGCGCCAATGGCACAGGCAGATCTCTGCATATTTCACCATTGTAGGCGATTCGCTCTCATGCAAAATGGGCGCTCTGATTGGGTAATGCCGATAATGGGCGGTGACCGATCACAGGGATTTAACGTTTCAAGCAAATGTGGGATTAGTCTCGCACAAGTAATCATCGGAAATTAAATTATTCAACTGAAGAAATTGAAAAATTTTTCAACTGATTAAAACAGTACATAGAAATCACTAATCGTGATATTTTCGATTATAAACCAGCTGATCTGCATGCGTCAAATTGAACGCACATATTTTGAAACTGTGCGTCTTTTTCTATTTTTATGCGTATTTTACGCAAGACGCACATCTAGATTAATCACTGCCTGGTGATAATGTCTGATTGTTAGCAATTTTGTGTCCACTCAGTATCTTTTGAAAGGGAATCTATGGCTGAGTGTTGAGGGTCTTGACAGAATGTTAACCATAGATGAAAGTGGTCAAG